TGCCAAAACAAACAAACAAATAAACAAAAACCATGTTGATGGATGGTGTTGGTCCAGAGAACAATTGAATGGAAAGACTTTCTGTCGGGAGGCCTGAATTCTAACAGACATGCTTGACACCAATGAAAACAGACTGAAGCATCCTTGTGATACCTGCATCTGAGCTCCAAAGATGGAGGTATGGGGCATGCTGACCTCTTCTGGGCACTTCTGGCTTATCCTAGCTTAGGGATAACCCCTATGTCATCAGGGTGACTTTTAGGAAACACAACAAACCATGATTTCAACATTATTGAGCCATAGAAAAATTCAAACATGCCATGTTTTGTTCTCTTAAATGTGACCTTTTCCTCTCCTGTGTGATGGGACAGGGGAAAATCCTAATGAGAGGATATGAAGGGAAGACCTTTCCAAACTGATCTATATAAAACACAAATTTATATCAGTGATACTGTAAGGATGTATTCACTTACAGTAGCAAGTTTTGCTCTCACCTTAAATACATTTTTATTACTTCTTTAAGAATTTCATACATGAATGATGTGGTAATTTGAATGAGAATGGCCCTCATAGGCTCATATATTTAAATGCTTAATACCCAGTTTGGTGAACTCTTTGAGACAGATGGAAGGATTAGAAGATGTGGCGTGTTAGAGGAAGTGTGTCACTGGGGGGTGGGCTTTGAGGTTTCAAAAGCCCACTCCAGGCCCAGTATCTCTTTCTGCCTGCTGCCTATGGATCAGGATGTAGCTCTCCGCCCCATGCCTGCCTCCTGCCATACTCCCCACAATGATGGAAATCAAATAACCCTAAGAATCTATAAGCCAACCCCCAATTAAATGCTTTCTTTTCTAAGAGTTGCCTTGGTCATGGCGTCTCTTCACAGCAATAGGACAGTGACTAACACACATTCCATGTGTTTTGATTGTATTCACTCTCAGTCCTCCCCCTAACTCCTCCCAGGTGATCCCTTCGCTCCCACCTACTCCATCTCCTTTTTAGGTGCTGGAGGTGGAACCCAGCACCTGCTGAGCTACATTACACTGAACGCATCTTAAAATATAAACATTCACAAAACACTAATTTTTAAATTGTATTGTTGCTATTGTGTACACGTGCCCATGATGTGTCTGTGTGCATGATGCATGTATGTACCATGACATGTGTTTTGATGAGAAGACTACTTTGTGGAGTTGCTTCTCTCTGTCTCCCTTCATGTGGGTTCTGGGGATTGAACTCAGGTCACTGGGCCTGAATGGCAAGCACCTTTACCCACTGAACCATCTTGCCTGCCAGCCCACCACTGGGTAAATTGTAAAAGAAGTAATATACATAGGGTATCCTGAATGCCTTGGGCTTAGAAATAATCAAGTTGCTCTCACTGTAACCTAAGGGTTGCTTCAGGTCTTTCCATGATTTACATGCTCTTTCTCAATACTCATTCTCAGGCTTTGGGTCAAGTACCATGTTTCTGGAATAAGTACACTGTACTTAAAATCAATTTTTGTCGTTGTTCTAAACTTACCTGTTCCAGTATCAACAGAAACACATTTCCACAGGCAGCACTTGCCTTCTCAGAGGCTCTTGTAACCTCCCAATCAGCTTTTTATGTCTGAAGACTCCATATGCCATTTCTTTTGCCTTTAGCTGAAGTTCTGAGTTAGCATTTAAAAACCCAACTTCCCCCTCCTTGGAGGAGGCCAACTATTTTGTAGCACAAACATTTGTTACATTAAGTGAACACAGCAAATGCTACAAACTGTACTTCAGTACTGATTAGATAAATACATTTCCTCTCTGCTCAGAAAAGCATATTCAGCCAAGACACCCCAAGATGGTACAGATGGGGAGGTCAAACCTGCAGAAGGAGCCCTGCAGCTAAGTCTGGAGGCCTCTGGAAGAACATTTGGAAGTAGCAGGAGGCCTGGGCTCCTGGCCCACAGATAAGAAAACCTCCCCCAGCCAACCTGGAGCCCTTCAAAGGCACGATAGTCTCCCAACTTTCCTAGTATTCTCCTCCTATTCACACAAGTTAAACACACCCAACTGCCAAATGCTCTCATCCTAGAAGACAAATCGACAAGAGAGCCATTGGAGGTTGGGGCCATTCTGGTTTTTTGCTTTCCAACATTACTGCTGGTCTGGAGGAAGGATGTCACCACCATCCTGAGCACACGGCAGCTGTTCCCTTTTGGCTAAAGTTCAGTATGAATCTCACGAAGCTCCTGCTAGATCTCTCTTTAAATAAAAATCCTTTTGAGAAATTTCACAGTCACTATATAGCTAGCCTAGTATTTTTGTTATGACTTTTCCTGCAAGAGAGGTAAAAATCATGCATTTCAAACAAATTTGTGAGCCCCAAAAGTACCTTCTGGCTATTCTTGCCAGAGAAGTAAAACGGACTATCCAGTTGGGCAAACTGAAAAGCTAAGACAGGGCCAAAGAACCACTGAATGCCAATTCTCTCCAGTGCATCAAAAGATGAATATCTAGCAAAGAGAGATTTTTCTTTCTAAAAAAAATCCCACTATTGTAAAGCTACCAGATAAACTTGTACTTATGAGGAGAAAGTGGACACCTGGAAACTTCCTTGTTTTGAAATTCTGGTCCATTGTCACCATACCACAATGGCTATGTTTCACTCATCGTTTAACCGTCCCAGCTAAGACATGACCTACTGCCTTAGTGTAGGTTTATATTCAGTACCATGATGTGTTCCCAGTGCCTGGCATCTGCTGGCCCCTCTAGCGTTAGGTCTCAAACCTGGGACAAATGGCTAACTGAAATGCCTATTAACATATCAAAGTGGGTGCTGACACCAGGTTCTCCCAGCATCCCTCATCCCTACCTGTTTCAGGGTCTTCCTTGGCTGGCACAGCCTGCTCCTTACCCTAAACTCTAGTTCACGGACTAGGCTGGCTTCCCTTCCCCCAACTCCTCTGGCCCCTATATAACTCAGTCATTGTGGCTAAAACAGTCTCATGCCCTAGGCTGCCACTCCTGGTCTGTGCCCGCCACCCCCACCCTGCACCTCTCTCCTCACATGACCTGGCTCAGTCTAACCATGTTCACTCTGGACTTTTCCAGAGGTCTCTGGTTCTGGCTCTGCTCTCCCTTTTATCTACAATAAACTTCAACCCATACCTAGGAGCAGTCACGTCCTTTTTATGTTTCCTCATTCATCTGGTGCTGAAACCTGGGAGTGGCATAAATGATTCCTATCCCGGGGGCTCACTGCTCTGAACCAAGCTGCTGCACTGACTCTGCTAAGGTGGGCATGGATCATTTGTTTCTGCTGGCTTTTGCCATGCACCAAATTTGACTCCAACTTCTGAAGCCCAGTCCTTAAGCTGCTGCCTCTCCCCACCTGCCACTCCTCATCCACTCTATCAGCTGTGTCTTCCAGCTCTTAAGCCTTCTACATCCTCCTACCCAGGGCACCTACCTGGGCGTTCTCAGCGTCGGACTGCTATACACATCTCGATATCTATACCCACGTGGGTACATCTTTAAAGACACCCTTTCCCCCAAAGCCTCAGTTCTCCCATCTTCCCCTAAGAGCTACAGCCCCACCTGCAGTCCAGCTTGGGGCCACCTGGGACCTCTCCCTTACCCCCCCCAGGAGCTACAGCCCCACCTGCAGTCCAGCTTGGGGCCACCTGGGACCTCTCCCTTGCCCCCCCCCCCCAGGAGCTACAGTCCCACCTGCAGGCAGTCCCATAGCTTCTGCTCTCAGCTTCCTCCTAAAGTTTCTTCTCCTACTCAGAGCTGCCTGCTCTGTCTCCCCCTCAAGCCCTCTTAGGTCTTTCTCCTTCCTCAGATGGAGCTCTAATACTCTGAGAGCCTGTCCTCTGTCTCTCAGCTCTCTTCCTACAGTCTGGAAGCCACCTCCACACTCTTTCTCAACTCCTTTTAAAGTTTATAGAAATTCCCTCCAGCAGAGTTCCCAGGATAGACTGGGGAGTGCCAGACACTGGTGTGCTTTCCAAGCTAAAACAGCCCTTCCCCAGGCTAGCGCTAGTTCCTTGTCACCACCCCTCCTCCCCAAGCCCCACAGATCTGTATATCCAAAAGAAACCAAGGTCAATTGGGAATCTCTAGAGCCTACTGGAAAGTCAATAATCTTTCAAAGCAAATTAGATTTGGTTTCTGAAGCCAAAGGAGACAGTGGGTGTACTGTAATCCCAGGACTCAGGAGGCAGAGGCTGGCAGCCCTGTTTCAGAAAAAGGCCAAACCAAAGTGTCTTTGGGTCACTAAGTGTGGGGTCTCCTTCCCTCTCTCATCATTATCTTTGCATTTGCTTTCTAACTGCTATAGGCATTATCAATGGCTTAAGTTGCTTCCTCTCTGTGACTACAGATTTGAACTTACTACCAAGTCCTCTGCCTTTCCATGCCCGAGCAGTTGCTGGGGAAGTTGTTCTTCATTGCTAGGCAGCACCATAAATATACTTTATTGAAGATTTTTTTCCCTATAAGTCAGTCTGAACTCATTTTAGAAAATAATAGTAACACAGACACACAGAAAAAAGGTAATAAATATATCATCCCCTGTATCTAAATGGTAGTGTTTGTATATGCTTATTCAAAGTAAACATATATGTATATTATATACACAAACACATACCTTGCAATCACCTGACTTGCAATCACTTGTAATTTTAATGTGTGCATTAATTTTAGCCACTCACACATAATCAAATCTGAGGACCAAACAATGACAAGAAACAGTTTATCCCAATAAATCAATTGACTGGTCATCAGGACACTTACTAAGGTCATCAGGACAGCTTACTGGTTTGCTTAGGAAGAGTCCCCTATTTGAAACATCTTCTTAATAGCAAAACACCCTGCTAGCTAAACCCTGCCCTTCAGAGCACCAGCTCTTCATGTTCAATAGCTCCTGACCTCTGGCCACCTTCTAACGACACCTGAAGTCATATGAGGAAAGGGTGAGAAGCAGGGAGCAGCCCACTTTTGAGCTTCCTGAGCCTTCATACCTGTGCTGATGCTCCTGTAAGACTTGGTAAATGCTGATAAGAAAAGTTTGGTTTTTAAAACTCCCCACAACACAGTCCTTGTAGACGCGGAACTCTGCAGCCGTCACCGCCTCACCCTCAGGAATCTGGGATAAGTTGAACTTGAACTCTTTGTGGTGTCGCTGGCGTGGGGAGAACTCCTTGTCGTACTCCACTATAGGATTAAACAAGAGAGAGTGACAACTATTGTTACTTGACCTGGTGCCACGGGCTCATCTCATGAACGTTCCCCAGTTTTACTTCACAGATTACCCGTTACCAAATTAACGACACCAAGGGGCTGAAAGAACACTGGCTGAACTGCCTGGCAGGTTGAGATTGAAATTCTCCCTTCTTCCCCGAGAGGAAGCAGAATGTTTGTGTTGCGTTCAGTTTATTTTTTATTTTTTGTAGTTTCAAGAGTTGACTGAACAAATGACTTGCATAAGATCAAGTCATTTAAAGGCTCTTGGCTTCCGGTTCCCTCATCAGCAAAAAAGAATATGACTGCAGAAAGGTCTGAGAATGAGTGAAATATTGAAGAAAAATTAGCCACCCACTACACCTTTCTAAGAGTTGTTGGTCCCCCAAACAATACAGGGTAATGGTCACTGCAATCGGTTGCCCACCAGCATGAGATGGTGAGGACTTATTGGTGAATATGGCACAGGCTCGGCCTGCAGAAGGCAGAGAACCAAGAGGGAACTGAGGTAAAAGCTTCCTCCCTGCCTGTGCAGTCTCAGAGTGCTGGAAGGTGCTGGGGAGCCTGCTAGGGGAGAACACTCTCTAACTGTCTTACTAGCTGTGGCCCCTGACTGCTACACTACCAACTATACCATGGCAAGATGTGCCCACTGGTGGGACAGTGGCATGGCTGTTGTGACAGTAACCAATCACTTGGTGACTGGAACTGCAGCCCACTCCACAGGAGGAAACTCACATCTGGTCCTATAAACCTGGAAAAAGCCCATGACTGGGGAGGCCATAGGTACTAGTGGAAAGCTACTGCTTTTCTGTATAAATGACGCACCTGTCAGATTACCTTCTAAATACTTTGGGTTATTCCCATGCATCAGTGCTGGTGTCTCTTGGGAAGAGAAGCTTCAATTTGTAGTGGACAGTGGGAACTACAGAGATTCATGTCTGTTTTGAAGTTGATGAATAAGTACTACGTGGTCAATGTAAGAGGGACATCTATGTCTATCACTGCCTCCAAGACTCAGCGAGCACCGAAGAGGAGAGGGCAGGATGCAACAGCCCAAGGATGGGGTGGAATGCCATAGAACACGGTCTCTTGGGCATGTCACGTGGTTGCACTCGTGAATTAAAGCACTGTGATAGCCTGCCTATGACCCACATAAGATTTGTCCTTTCCATGGAGGAGGTAGAGACTTACAAACCATCCCCGCCCCCACCCCAAGGATCTACAGACTGTTGACAGTTGCTGGAGGAGGGGGAGACATCATCTTCTATGGTACAGTCATTGGTGAGGCACCTAGCTCCTAAAAATAACCTGTTGCTCATGCTCCTACGTAATCAGGAAACCGTAATGACAGTTCATCAGGTAAAAAGAGACATGAAAGTAGAGGGGGCATCTGGAAAGAGGAAGGAGAGTAGTGGGGGACCAGAGGGGGACACAAAGATGGTGAGGGATTAATACGATCAGAATATATGAAAGACCATCATGAAATCCATCATCATGGATAATTAATATATGCTAATGACTTCCTGACCCTTCCACCCTTTCCTCTCTGTTGCTTTTCCTTCCCCAGTTTTGTTCATGTGTCACCATCTGTAGCTGACATGAAAAGGGGCACCCTGGCCTAAACCTGGGATCTGTGACATGGTGGAGGACAGGTAGTGTACCTCCCCTGTCTTGACATTACAGCAGTCTCCACATTTTGTTTGTTGCTCCATGAAAATATTAGTAGAATGTTAAATTTGTTAATGACCACTCCACACACATATATAACACGTTCTTACTCCCACCCCACCCTCTCATCACCCTTCCACCTATGTCAGCATGGCCAAGTCCCCTTTCCCCATTCATGCCTTTTGGTTTTGTGATCCACTGAGTTTAACCAGGGCCACCTGTTTGACCATAGGTTTGGGACTATCCAGTGGAGCCTGGTGTCAGTGGATTTTTGTTGAGGAGTCTAGGGTAAAGTCTCATAGAAGATGATCTTCTCCTAATGGAATCAAGGGCTGAAGACAAAAGGGAGAAACCCCATATGTCATTAAGCTGCTGGAGGCCTTTTTAAGTTGACAGCAGATCCCAAGCAAGAAAAGTAAGTGTCACTTGCTATTAATAGCTTACATTTTGAAAAATTAAAGATGGAACACACACACGCACTCACGCACGCACGCACACACATGCACACATTACCTGGACTCAGTTTCTCTCCTGTGGATGAATGTATAAAGGAAATGAGTATACAAAAACTCAAATGACTTTCTGCTATCTGCCACACACAGATGTACCTGGAAGGCATGGCGCTAAGTGATATAAGCCAGGCACAGAACAACAAAACCATTTGCTCTCACTCATATGTAACATCTATGAAAGTCAAACTCCCAGAAGCAGAGAGAGAATGGTGGTTGCCTGGGGTCTGGGGAAAGAGTGGAAAGAGTTTGGAGAAAGTCAAATGAGAGGGAACAAAAGTTAAATATGTTTGACAGACCTGATTGACAGTCCTGATAGACAGCCCAGGGCCTAACTGACTGTACTGCCTTGATATGAGACCTGTCAGGCGTATGAGGTATGGAGGAGCTCCTCAGCCACCATGGACAGAGAGATCTGTGGCACTCTGTCAGCACAGGTCCCTTTTCCTTGTTAGTTATGTCTCAGAAAAGCCAGAAAAGAAAGTATCTGTCAACTTTTTCTTTCTTTGCAGCTAAAGGCAAAAGAAATGTGCAACTGCTAGTTACTATTTTTTGGAGTCAGCTTTCAACTGTCTATATTCATTTTGGATAAGAGAAATGGTAAAAAATCAAACCCCAGATGCTTAATCCATAGTCATTTCAAAAGCGCAGAGATTTGACTTCTGCCAAAACCTGAGCAGAGCTCTGTTCCTGGGGAGGTGTAGGTGGGCTTGTTTATTTTGTTGGCTTTTTGAGGCAATCTTGCCATGTAGCCCAGGGTAGCCTGGGATTTACAATAATGTTCCTGCTTCTGCCTTTTGAGTACTGGCATTACAGGCATGCACCCACCGCCATGATTTTAGTTTGTTTTGCAAAATTTATTTTTATTTTTAATTATATGTGTGCATGTGTATCTATATGAGGGTATATACACTTGAGTGCCTTCAAGTCCAGAAGAGAACACTGGATCACCTAGAGATGGACTTACAGGCTTTTGTGAGCTGCGCAGCATGGATGCTAGGAACCCGACTCAGGTGCTCTGGAAGAGCAGCAGGCACTTACATGCTGAGCCTTCTTCTCCAGCCTCTTCATTTTCTTAACAGCAACCCCAAAGAAACTTCAAGAACAATTCATCTCTTATGGAGGGAGTCATGGGAAAAAAAACCCAAAACATAACTATTTGCCACCCACCTCTAATTTCCCATTTCCTTCCAATGTGTTGTTTTCTATTATCACCAGTGAAAAGCATTGGAGATTTGGTGTCTTCATACAAAACAACAACAAAAACAACCCTGCCTCATAACTCTCTGGAAGAACCTAAGTCCCCAATGGTACCTCTGAAACCAAGGAAAGTTAGGTTATCTGTGGCCACAAGGTTTTGAATAAACATTTTTCAAAACCACCATGGAGTTATGTGACCAATCTTCTAGGTTTGAGCTATTTGATGCCTTTTTCAATTCAAAAACTGTTAAAGATTTTATGTTTTTTATGTGTATGAATGTTTAGACTGCATGCATGTATGTACACCATGGGCATGCCTGGTGTCCTCAGAGGGCACAAGAGGGTGTGAGATTCCCTGCAACCATGGTGCAGACATATATGCAGGCAAAACACCCAGACACTTAAATAATTTTAAATGATCACATTAAATAAAACAATCTACTGGTGGGGAGATTTGGAAATGACACTGACCATCTATAGGAGAGTCCTAGGAGTTGCAGATGGTTGTGAGCCACCATGTCGGCCCTGGGAATCGAACCTGGATCCTCTGAAAGAGCAGCAAGTGGCTTTAACAGCTTCATCCCACCCCCATTTCAATTTCTTCAGGAAAAAGCTTTGGCTTCAGTAAGAGTCAAATGAGGTCTGAGCAGAAAGTGGCTGGCTGATGGCGTGTCCCCAGTGCAATGTCAGCTTTGCTTGCCAGTGACTGAGAATAAAAAGCAAGATTGTTGAAGGGTTCACCCAAGGACGGCCACACAGAAGGTGGATCACCTTTCCCTAAAACTGATCTACTTTCTAAATTCGATACGTTATCGTTGTCGGTTAAAAAGGAATTAAATCTGATTTCTCAAAGAGATTTTCTTTAAAAAGTCCCACATCCTTTCTGTAGGATACTTAAGTTTAATATAGATACATGAGAATGGGTTTCTTAAAGGTTCCTTAGAGAGCATGCATAAGAACTCTCCAAAGAATTCCTTTTATCTCTTACTATGAATCGGGAAAAAAAAATGACTCACATAAAATGAAATACATGAAAGTAATATATTTCAGTTGCAAGAAGGAGAGGGACAGACACAATTTTCAGTAAGTGGGAAATGTGGCAATCTGTCCTTCCAGAGGACCACCGCTCCTAACAAGCCGCTCCCTGCTTCTGACGGTGGACTCCAGCACTTGTGAAGCTGAAGCAATTCCTATGCTGCTGTAGGCTTTGCGTTTCCTCACATGACTGCTGCGGGAAAGACAGCTACTGTGTAAGAGGCCTCAGATCCTGAAACCTCCCTGTTAGGAGGAAGCCCAGACCAGGGCTGAAGATACATGGAGGTATGGGGGGAGAAGAGAGGAGTGGAATGATGGCGAGAAAAAGAATAAGGACAACTGTCTAACCATGTCACGTTAATTTGATTTTAGTTTTGAGGTGTCTTTAAAGATTTATTTATTTAGAGAGAGGTGTGTGTGTGTGTGTGTGTGTGTGTGTGTGTGTGTGTGTGTGTGAATGCATGTGCAAAATGTGCATGCAGTACCAGAGGTGGCCAGAAGAGGCACCCTAACTCCTGGAACTGAAGTGAAAGGTGGCTCACAGCTACCTTAACTAAT